TTCTGTCCTGAATAATTATCCTTTTGACATAAAAATAAATTTAAAAGAAACTTCCAAGATTAAAATGCAAAGAGGGTTCACATATCCACATTTTCAAAGACTAAAAACACCTTGAATGTGAGGTATATTTTTGACCTACTGCTTACTCCATAATATTAGAAAATGGCAACAGATCTTAGTAGCCAAAGAAAAGATCATGTCCCTAAAGAACAGTCTATTTTTATGTACTTCAGTGTCTAATCTTTCTGCATTGAGAGTATGGCTAATTTGGCTGAAATATAAGTGAGTAATTTAGGTGAATAAAAGTTCTCAAGAAAAATCTGCTGCCTAACTAATATTTTCCTTACTTTGCCCAGGCAGTCAAATCCTCCTTTCGACATTTTCCTCATGACTTTATTATGAAGAATTTATTGACTACTTTCTGTGTGCAGAGAATTGTTTGTTGGTAAATTATAATTTGACCCAGAATAAAATATAGTGCTTATGGGCAGGTATAGCTTCTAAAGTAAATTATTATTATTTTCCTCTCTCGACACTGGTGATAAGATAGAAGATTTCTCTTCCTCCATGACTTACATTTTGAAATGTTAATACCACGGGAAGCAATCGGGAAAAGTGTATGAATGCAAACTGTTTCTTTTCAAACTTTCTAGGGGAGACACAGTCAGAGCTCAACTCTAACCCCAGTGGGCTTACAGTGTTGTTCCTTTGTTGCCTGGTTCTCCTGCTGTGCCCTGTCAGATCAAATGTATCCCTGTTATTGATCTCAACCTATGTAATTTGGCAAGGTAACGCTCATAAGTGTGATTTTAATCAAACTGATGTTAAGTGTAAAAAAATGATTATTTCCAAGTTAAAAAAATGGAACTTTTCAAAAAATGATTTATAAATAATAATGTCTTTGCATTAGAATGTAAACTTCAAAAAACGAAGGTTCACTGCATTATCTCTGGGATTGAGAACAATAATTTGCATGTGTTAGTCATTAAATAAACATTTAAGTGAGTAACGTCCTCCGAACTTGTATAGAATTATTGTATCATATGATTTAGAATCCGATGCTACTTGTTATATGCAGCTGTGTTTCTCAACAGGAAACAGCAGGAAAAAGGGACGGATGGTGTCCACCTTGTATACCATCATATTTTTAGAGCTTAGCCATACCTATGTGAAAAAATTTTAGTGAATTGAAGAAAGGCTTATATTGTCTATTATTCATCTATCATCCTCAGTAACTAATTATACAAGGCAGGTGGTCTGATTCTTGTATGACTAAGATCGTGCTTGGAACAATAGACATATTGTTGCACTGAACTCAGAGAGTGCTGCAGTGGCAGGTTTGAACGTTGTGGAATGGTGGGCAGCCTTGCATATCAGTCTGGCTGGCCCGCTGGTGGGGTTTGGAGGAAGTTTGGGTTTTGGATACTCATTTTCTTATTAAATACCATCTGATGCATTTGACCCCTTCCTTCCAAAAACCAACTCATCTTCGACAAGGCCTCCACCACCTACCACTGGGGAGAGGAGAACCTATTCAGTAAATGGTGCTGGGAAAACTGGCTGACCACATGCAGAAGATTGAAACAGGAACCCTATCTATTCCCATGCACAAAGGTTAACTCCAAATGGATCAGAGACCTAAATGTAAAACCTCAAACCATAAGAACCTTAGAAAATGAAGGACATACCCTCATGGAAATCGGAACTGGCATCCAATTCCTGAACAAAACCCGAAACCCACAGGTCATAAGAGAGAAGATAGACAAGTGGGACCTTATTAAACTGACAAGCTTCTGCAAGGCCAAAGAAATCATTAAGAGAGCAGGGAGACAGCCTACAGACTGGGAAAAAGTATTTGCCAACTCCAGGTCGGACAAAGGTTTAACATCCTGAATCTACAAGGAACTAAAACGTGCTGAAAAGAAAAAAACAAACAACCCCATTATAAAATGGGCAAAAGATATAAACAGACACTTCACAAAAGAGGACATCCGAGCAGCCAACAAACACATAAAGAAATGTTTAACCTCACTAATCATCAGGGAGATGCAAATCAAAACCACACTGAGATACCACCTAACTCCAGCCAGAATGGCAATTATCAACAACTCAAAAAATAACAGCTGCTGAAGAGGGTGTGGCGAAAAGGGAACACTTCTACACTGGTGGTGGGAGTGTAAACTAGTGCAACCTCTGTGGAAAGCAGTGTGGTGATTCCTAAAAGCTCTAAATATCAACCTCCCATATGACCCCACAATTCCCCTACTGGGAATATACCCTGAAGAACTCAAATCACTCTATAAAAAAGATACCTGCACACGTATGTTTATCACAGCGTTGTTCACAATAGCAAGAACCTGGAAACAACCATGCTGCCCATCAAAAGAGGACTGGATTAAAAAAATGTGGTACATATACACGATGGAATACTACGCAGCCATAAAAAAGAACAAAATCATGAATTTCACAGCAACCTGGATGGAACTAGAATCTATAATACTGAGTGACCTCTCACAGAAACAAAGATCTGAGTATCACATGTTCTCACTCATATAATGGACCTTGAACATCCAATGTAATACTATAAGAAAATGACTGATGGTACTGGGAAACTATGGGGGAGGGTTAACAGTAGCAAATATCTGCCTGGGGATGGTGAAACACCTCTTATCAACAGGGTGCCTGAATGAAACGTAATTGTGCACCTAACCCTTAACTGTACCCCACAAAACCATAATAAAAAATATTGATTAAAAAAAAAAAAGAAAAATGGATAAAGAACAAAATTAAAGCTGTACTTTCTATGGCAGCTTATCAACTGAGCCAGACTTGTGCAAACTCATCATCCATCACCTATGTTTCTGTAAAATAATTTCTGAAAATATGTTTAGTTTGTTTTAGAAAATACCCAAATCAAATTTTGCTCCTACAGCAGTGAAAGATTAAGTTAATTTGACTGGTGCTAGAAAATAAGGGATTTGGGAGAGAAAGGGCCTCGTGCTTGTTTTTAACTCATTCTTTTTTTTTTTGTAAAATAATAGGAAAGACTACCCTGTTCTTAAAATAGTGAAATACCAGCTGGCAGGATTTAGAGAAGTCCTCTAAATTTAGAAAGGATGATCTAGGACTTAAAAAGGAAGTTGAGCCGGGTGCGGTGACTCACGCCCGTAAATCCCAGCACTTTGAGAGGCAGAGGTCAGAAGATTGCCTGAGTCCAGGGTTTCGAGACCAGCCCAGGAAACTTGGCAAGACCTCATCTCTACAATAAATCAAATAAATTAGCTAGGCGTGATGGTACACGCCTGTGGTTCCATCTACTTGGAAGGCTGAGGTGGAAGGATCACCTGAGCCCAGCAGGTCGAGGCTGCAGTGGCTGTGAGCATGCCACTGCACTCCAGTCTGGGCAACAGTGAGACTCTGGAGAAAAGAAAAAAAAAAGAAAGAAAGGAAGGAAGGAAGTTGAATATCCTTCCTGTTGAACTGAGGCAAGTCACTTAGTTCTGAGCCTTAGTTCCTCAACTGCAAAATGCAGATGACAATGTATGTTCCCTACAGGACTCTAATGGGGATTAGATTCTACAGATATATATACAATGTTTAACAAGAATTACTTCCATAATCTGTAATCCTCATTGTAAATTGCTTAGCACAGAGCCATGATAGATGCTCCATGTGTGGTGGCAGCAACTAATATTATTCCATATGCTGATGAGACTATAAAAATAGAAGCTGAGCCTCATAGCTATGCTCTTGCATTGACTTCACCTCTGCTGTTCAACTTCCTTAAAAAAAAAAGAAAATAAAAATACTTAATACTATAAAGAAATAAATGAGAAAATACATGTAAGTAATCATCTTATGATTGGCAACAGTTGTGGCGGTGATTTATTTTTTTCCCTACTTTTGGGCTTGGCCTTGTGCTAGTCAGTTTATGACTGTGTTTTTAAGGACACATTTCCTCCTTCCCTCCCTACACATGAACCTGCCCCTCTCCATCCTGAGGCAGCATACACTCTCACCATATGAAATCATATGGAGTCCCAAAAACACAGGCAAAATTCAACATCTGCTTTACTGCTCCCCATAGAGAGGAACAGAGTTAACTTGGTATTATCTTTTTCTTTTTTAGAATTGGGGGTCTTGCTATGTTGCCCAGGTTTCAGTACAGTGGCTATTCACAGGCATGATCCTAGCTCACTACACCTCTGAACTCCCGGACTCAAGTGATCCTCTTACCTCAGCCTCAGTCTATAGGTGCGACTATAGGTGCGTGCCAGCACCTGGCAGCCTTGGTATTATTTTAATAAAAACCAAGACTGTAAACATTTAAATGAGTGTCATTTTTCAAGATGGTGACATGGCATATGTACATTAAAAACCCACAAACTACCCCTTAAAAATTATGTACTATATTGACATATCACAGGTACTTAATAAATCTTTCCTGAATATAATTATGATTAATTGAAGTGGTATTTTAACTAAAGAATATCTTCTTGGAATTAATTAATTCATAGATTGACATGCTTATTGACTATTAATTCTTATGAGTCAAGCATTATTTGGCTATGCATGCTACAAAAAACTTGAAAATTATTTCATAATAAAAATTTATGCCCTTACATTTAAAAAAAATGTTTTAAATGTATATTACTCTGATAGTCTTTGGGACAGCCGAAAAAAGACACAACATTGTTGCCAAATCAGTGAGCCAGACAATGGATACAGTGAAACACAGGAGACACTATTCAGAGTGCTCCCTGCTGCTGTTGAAAATGATCTATGATCGTGATTAATTGCTTTTGAAATTTTGATCAAAATTGATCTGTCTAATTTTCTGGCACTGGCTCTGTAAGTCAAATCTCATCTTGGAATTACATAAATCAATGTAGTCTGGACTTCTGTAGAAATTGGGGGGGAGAAAGATGGAAATAATTTTTGAGTTGTCAGTGACTGATGGATGTTCTGATCTCACAGTTTTAGTAAAGAAAAGGTCTTACCGTAGCTGTCATAGGCATCCTCACTTACTCCATGACCGTAGTCATAGTACTCAGGCACACTGCAACAGATTTAGACAGCAGTCAATATTACCATCATCAGCAGAAATCAACCCAGACACGCATATGGAATTTGAAGACAAAATGTGTGCTTAGGAAATATCCCAGGAACTTCTTGGCATAACATGTATGATCCTAAAGAAATCTTCAGTATGTAAATACAGCTTATTGACAAGAAGTGTTATGATGTTTTTCATGCCACCTCTATCATCTAATTTGATAAATCAAATTTTCCCTAAAACACAAGTATAATACTTCAAAATGTGTCAAGAAGAGATTTATAAAAGACCTATTTCCAAGAAAAAGTGCTATGTATGATGACAATCTGGTCAATTGTGTATGGCTTTTTATGTTATCACAGGAAATATACATCCCTTTCTTCACTTTCAAACACTTAAATTTTATTTATACACCCCTCTTTCCCTTTCACACCATGTCTGTGCACTTCACAGATATGTAAGCTGTGTCTTTCACCCAGTATTTTACTAAAAACTTCCCCATTTCAACGCAGTGTTCTTTCTCATTTCTGATTTAAAGGCTACTTAGAGTCTCCTGCGACATCAGTTTCCCCCTTTTAAGCTATCACTTCTACTAGCAACCAAATATCTGTATATATCTTCCATCCTACAAAAGCCTTCCCTCACCCACATATCTCCTTCTGGAAACTGTCTTCTTCTCTGTCCCTTTACAGCAAACTTTCTTGAGAAGAGGGAACTCTGCCCACTGTTCACCAACCCTTCCTTCACATGCCTTTGAAGACATTCAGTTTAGCCATTGCTCTGCATCTCCACTAAAACAGCTCTCCTCAAGATCTTAACATTTTCATATCCAGTGGTCAAGCCCTAATCCCCATTTTACTTTAGAATCATTTAACCCAGTCAATCATTTCCTGCTCCTTCTAACAGCTCACTTGTTTCTGGGATCTCTTGTGAGTCTCTTAGTTCACTTCATTTTGACATTCTCTACGGATGCCTTCTCATTTTCCCAACTACTTAATCTTGGAGACCACTGGGGGTCAGTTAAAGAATTCTCTCTTTCATTCATACTTGCTCCCTAGTCATTCTCATCTGATCCCATGGCTTTAATTCCATCTCTACTTTGATGACTCCCAAATTATATCCCATTCTTGGCACTGCCTAGTGTACATTTCCATTTGAATGTCAAACAACATAGCCAAAAACAAAACAAAACAAAACCCTGATTTTCTTTCCAACTCAGACCTGTTCTTTTTGCATTCTTCCCATCTTTATTTACGCATCAACAAAACATCTTTTTTTTTTTCTTTTGAGTTGGAGTCTCACTCAGTCGCCCAGGCTGGAGTGCAGTGGCCGCTCCCGGCCACCACAGCCTCGATCTGCTGGGCTCCGGCGATCCTTCCGCCTCAGCCTTCTAAGCAGCCGAAACTACAGGCATGCGCTACCACGCCCGACTAATTTTTTTTTTAATTTATTGTAGAGATGAGGTCTTGCCAAATTGCCCAGGCGGGTCTCGAACCCGCGGGCTCAGTCAATTCACTCACTTCGGCCTCCCAAAGCATGGGATTACAGGCTGAGCCACCGAGCCCGGCCAACAAAACATCTTAATTAGTGTTACTCATGCCAAAAAATGTGCGGTCCTTTACTGTCTTTCACACCCAATGTTCAATCCAACAGAAAATTCTTTCACTTATGCTTGCAAAATACATCCAGAATCTATACATGTCAAAACCTCTCCACAGCTATGACTGTGGTTAAAGTTATTACTGTTTCTCTCTTAAATGAATTCAACATCCTTCCAACTGGTCTCTGTGCCCTGACTGCTTTGCTCCTATTATTCATGTAGCAGTCACTATCATTCTTATAAAAGTCAGGTCATATTAGTTTGCTACTCAAAGTCCATCAAAGGGTTCCCATATCCTTTCCACCCTAGCATTTCTCCGACCTTGCTGTCCACCACCTTCCCTTCATTTACTCACTATACTCAGGGTACACCGGGTTCCTTGGTGCTCCCTGATTATGACAAAAACGTTACTGTCTCAGGGCCTTTTCAGGTGCAGCCTCCCTATCTGGAATGTGCATTTAAAAAAATGTCCAGTAGTCATTTCTCTCTTTCTTTCAAAGTTCATTCAAATGTCACTTATCTACTTAACTACTTAAACTACTACTTACCCACCCTTCCCTTACTCTGTACATATTATATAAAAAACACACATCTGTCTACTTATTTATGGATTCGTACCTACTTTTAGAATATAAGCTTCTTTGTATACGAAATTGGTCTCTGGTTTATTCACTTGTTCTTATTGTTCTAGAACAATGTTTGGCCCATGATAGCTACTCCATAAATATTTATGGAACAAAAGAATGAATTGCTCAAAGGAGATTAGGTACAAATGGTAAATGAATAACCTAATGTAACCAAGTCATAATTTAAAAAAAACTATAAAGAGGTGAATATTATCTTAATTAATTTATTATTTGGGTAATAAATTCATATATTTTTAGTCTTACTAGGGGATCTATAAATATTTATGATAAATTATATTTTCTCTTAAATCCACTCCTTAGTTTAAAGTTAAATATCAATCCTTGTCCCCCATCTAAATCTTAATTTATAAATTATCTCATTACTACTAATCCCTTTTACGAACATAAAACTGTGGCAAAAGATGGCTGAATATGTAAAAACAAATTGTATAAAGGCTGAGGATGGGGGTTAGATGCTAAAGGATTGTGATGGAAGAAAAGACAGAAGGGCCTAAAATTATATGGTCTATGAATGTGATAGTCATTATCCCTTGAGGCAATTCCATGGGGCTTATTTTGTTAAGTACTTAAGATTTTGTTGATAGTAAAGAAGGAGAAGAAAAAATAAATAAACGTCTGTACATTCAAGATGAAAAGAGGCAGAAATAAGTCTGGTCATCTTTATCTTCCTGAGAAGTAATTTGTAATGAAAGGACTCCAACTGAAGTGTAAAAAAAGTTAAAAAACAGCAACAACAAAAACAGATTGCCTAGATCAGCCCTCACTGCCCAGGGTATTTATATACAAACTGTCTAGGAAAAGAAGTATGGCAGTATGTTTTTCTGCCCATCCTTCAATTGACTTGAGATGGTAGAAGGCTAATGCCATTGGCTGGCAGTTGGATGTTTATCTCTCTTTCACAGACTTATCCTAATAGAAATGATGTACCCAAGTCACAATCTTCACATAGATGAAGCACATTCCTGAGAGGTATTACGTTGATTCCCTAAATTATCAAGAAGTGGCAGTCATGAAGACATGATTAAACAACCAGCACTTCCATTTCTAGGGATGTGTCGAAAAATGCTGGCACTGATAAAAACTTCTCCCTGCCTTGGTCACAATCAATACTTTCTCTGTGAGGAAGCCTCTGATTATGTTTCCCTAAGTGTGTTGTGTGAAGATCAGTAGCACCCAACACTGTTTAGTGTCATTACTATGTTTTTCACTTTTAATTTCTTTTTTTTTTTTTTTGAGTTGGATTCTCACTCTGTCACCCAGACTGGATTGCAGTGTCCGCTCCCAGTCACCGCAGCCTCGACCGGCTGGGCTCCGGCGATCCTTCCGCTCAGCCTTCCAAGTAGCTGGAACTACAGGTGCACACTACCACGCCCGGCTAATTTTTTGATTTGTTGTAGAGATGAGGTCTCGCCTGCCCAGTCGGGTCTCGAACCCTCAGGCTCAGGCAATCCACTCACCTCAGCTTCCCAAAGGCGCGGGATTACAGGCTGAGCCACCGAGCCCAGCTTACTTTTAATTTCAATTGATGAAAATAAGAGAGAGAAAAAGAACAGCAGTGGAGAGAACCTAATACAGAAGCTGCAGTTGTCCATCATAAATGATATACACATAACAGGAGGGAATTTTGACTTCAGAGCACTATCCAAGGGAAAACAGAACACATAAGATATGTGCAAAATAATGCATAGGGTAAGATAATGGAAAATGATGGATAATTATCATAATGGACTCTGCTAGAACCAAAACGTTTGCTTATTAAATTATAGCTTCTCATTTCTTCCATAGAAAAATGTTCACTTGGGCAAATGGCTGCACACGTAGTGAATACGCTCCCCAGCTACTACGTGTGCCCTTGTGACTAAGTCAGGAAACACAGGATGTGTGCAGAGATGAAGGTGACCATTGAGATCATGTCTAACTTAAGAATAAGCTTCTCATCCCGGTCTTGGGCACCTTTATCATCTCAGTTGGTAGAGTACACTCAGAGTGGGGATCCAGCATCTATTACACACAGAAAGCAATGCCTTGAAAAGTCTTGCATTGCAATAGGGGAGAGACCCCTGCCTTCAAATGCTCACATTCAGTAGACTTACTTCTTTACCACTTACCTTGGAAATTGTTAAGAGAAAAAATATGTTTTTTCATATTGTTTGAGTCACTGAGTTTTGAATCTATTACAACAGTTTAGTCAAACACAGAAATCAGTAAGTAGAAGTGTGAAAATTCCATTAAAATCTCAAACTACAAGGCATTACCTTAATGGGGGGATAGTGCAAAAAATGTCTACTGTAGGTAGAAAGGTGAGGACCCTTGTTATGCGATTACCAATGACAACATGGAAAGCAGCTCAAGAACTGTATATCCTAGAATACTAAGGGAAAAAGTGGGACAAAGCCCAAGTGTTGGTGATCCTTACTACTATTAGAAAGGTTAGCTATGAGCGCTCAATTAAGAATGAGCCATTTTGCGAGAAGAAATGAACGTGACTAGAACTTTAAGAGATGCTATCTCTCTGATTTATGTGTTAGTTCTATAATTTAAATTGTTAGACGGTTAAACATTTTGAGGCTTAATAAGAGAATTCAGCTGCTTCTATATTCCAACAGCAAGAGGCAATAAGTGTTGCTCAAAGATGTCCTCACATCTTCCCATTACCGTATACGATCCCTAGAACAATCCTTAGACTCTTAAACATGCACCAGCAGAAAGCATGCTGCAAAAATTGTGAAGTCCCTAAGAAGGACATACTCTATTGT